TTAATTCAACAAAATTAAATCAATTAAGTCATGAAAATTGAAAAATATGTGCTACAGACTTCAAGGTTTTTTTTAAATTCAAGCGGTTTTTTTTATAGCAGCTCTAAAACTCCTGGCGGACAAACTCGCGGAAACTAGCTTGAGTTGAGTGCATAAAACTCTCAAATTATTCTGTAATACCTAAATTCATTAGGTACTAACAATATGAAAACTAATATCTAAATTGAACTTTCTAAACGGGCGAATGTGAGGAATTCTATGATATTAACTTTTGTCAAACAATATGTTAACAAGATTTGTATAGTTATCTATAGTAAAAGTAAAAGGTGAAAATCAAAAATCTCGTAATAAATTGTGTATGCAAGTCAGGCTATGGTCGTATCACTTACAAAACACCTGTGCGCGTTCGAGCGTCATTTCTGCCCTTTTCCCGCCATTTTCTGACAAAATGGCCGGCGCGTGACTCGAATCTGAATTCTGTTAAATTCATGTATATTGCTCTTTTTATGTTATCTGTAACTTGACATTCAATATTTGATTTTAGATGATTCTAAATTTAAAATTAATAAAAACGTATAAACGACGATACAGTGATGTGTACAACCAAAACCACTTCATTATGTCTGCTATTTTCAAATGACTTTGACCGCACGATTTAAAAAAAAAAGTTTTTTTTGCAATAATGGAAGGAAACAAGTATTCAAAAAATTATGAAAAATCATAGTATTATTATATATTGCATAAATCTTTAATCATATCAGTAGGTATTATTTATCGCTATGAACAAAACATTCTCTCCCCACGCAAAGGGAAGTCACAGGGGAATATCGCCGAATGAAATACACGTCATACGAGTAGCGGTGACATTTCTCATGATAAGGCAACACCACAGTTTTGTTTATGGTCCGACCGCCATCTTTTCTTCCGCTTTGAGGAATGGATCCAGTATTCTATATAATTTCTGCTCAATATAATAATTTCATTATGTTATTAGTTGCGACATTGGTAGATATAATATAGTTATAGTGTGATGGCCTTTTGCGTTTTGTCCATTTGCTTTCTTTTTGGTAACTAAACCTGGAGCCTAACACTAGTTGATACAGGCTGGTGCATTTAATTAAAAAAAAAACTATAAGCAAAATTATGACGAATTGTGTGCCTCGTTATTTTTATTTTTAATGGGACACAAGTTTAATTTAAGTAACTGGCCACATTTTAATTTTTATCTTTGTCTATGGTTTTATAATTGATATAATTAAATCTATACCAGAGACTATCATAAATATTTATAATCCGATGCTATCACGCCCCATCCCGTTTGAGTGACGTTAAATAGAGACACGTCCATTATATGATAGGGATCTCTATACATTATTACATGGTGAGCCTTCATGAAACATTAATGTTTTCTCGCGCAACTGACAGATGGGCCACAGACACACCGAGTGACATCCAGTGACATCTAGTTGTCGACATAACAAATTGCCAGGGGAATTCTTACTTTCGTTTCGCTTTGAAAGGAATAAAGTTATGCGCTTCTACTCTAGTGAAAAGTGTCGAAATGATATGACGGATTTTCGTTGTAAGTCTCTTGCCAAAGATATTATACCCTATAAGAAGTTTCTAGCCATTGCCCGCGACTCCGTCCGCGCTATGATCTACATCCATGCCAAATTTCATCGAGATCTGTTCAGCCGTTCTGGAGATACCTTCAAAAATCTATCCATCCATCCTTCGAAACATTCGCATTTGTAATATTAATAAGAAGTAAGATTAATTAGTGAACTACGAGTTGTGGTCGCACTTGACTGGGGTCTAGTACATCTTAGCGTTAAATTACGGAGACAAATCTACACTAAGTGCTGTTTAAGTACGTGTTTTAATTCTGAATATGACAGATACAGGTATATCAACATATGCTGCATAATCTTCTGTTAAAAACTTTTAATTATATGTCACGGTGTCTTTGAAGAACCGAGTTTTGTTTATGTCCCAAATGTGAGGAGGAATCAGCCTTTGAATAAATATTTAGCACGAATACGCACTGGTTATTATTAATTAAGTTCGATTATGAAATTGAAATCAGCCACAAAAGTTTGTCTTTTTTTACGTTAAGAGAAATGTTTTTAATACATTTTTCGCAACGAGAATTCAACTAAATATTTCTTGTGACACTCGGTACAGCGTTGGTTTTAACTAAAAAATATGTCGTATTTTTAACGTGGCACCTTTGCTGTTTCGAGAACGCGATGTTATGAATGGAGAAGATTTTAAGAGCTGGGTTATTCTGCGGCGTGTCCGCTATAGTAATCCGCTGAGGAGTCGCGCTCGCGGCCGCTTCGTCTCGTACCACCCACTGTCGGGGGAGGTATACCGCGACTAACAATACTTAATATTTGCAGACTTTTGCGGTCATTTTTAACCCAAATGTTTTTCTTCTTAACTATTAATGTACGCAAAATGTTATGTAGAAGTGACTGCGTTTGCGGGTAACTTTTTTTTATGAGATTTATTACTTTTAATTTCAATTACCGCCAGTGAATTTGTTATCTTTGAGTTAAAATAAAGTAACTAAAATAAAGTGATAGCATTTTGTAACTCCATTAATAAAAATATCCAAATCTTTTGATTCGTTGATAAGCTTGATTATTTAGTGTCTCAATTAACGTTCTAATACTTAATTAATTAAGCAATTTCATATAAAATTCTCCTACTAAGGCTACACTAAAGGGGCAAACCAAATGATTCAAAGTCTGAGTGTGGCAGTATTCATAAAGCTTATAAACAATGATAACAAACTTTGGTTTTAAATCATTAAAACTTGTAAGCAGTTCAAATGTTTACTCAATAGTTTCTATATACAGGGACCTAAGCAAACTGAACGGAATAAATTAAGTACAAGTGTCAAGAGTGTTCGGTTTTCGCGACACCACGCTACTGGGAGGTAGGGGGGCTTACTGCGGGCGGGGGCAGTCAGGGAAGTGGGGGGAAGACCGTAACGCGCGCGTTCATGCAGAAACTGACGATAACGCGCCCCGGCCTACCACGTAACCCTGCCGAGTACGATAACGTTATCGCGCGCTTAAAAATGTATGGCCAATAATGGTGTCGCAGTTTTGACAAGGTGCAATTTAGTCGGCGTTTCGAAAGTTAAGAGTACCTGAATGATAACGGTTAATTTGAATTTTCGTGACTGAATTATTTTATGTGAAAGCTTCTTAAGATTATATCGGATATGCTGAACATAAGTAGGTATATACAATATAATCAAGACGTGTAATATTGAGCTGGATTAAAAATAATACTAGGACAGATTCAGTTTTTTGTTAACTGGTAACCTAAAACTGTGAAAAAGAAAGAGTTCACCTTTTAGGACCGATCAGCCAGTAGGCAGAAAAAGTCCATAGAATCCATAAAATAGTTCCCGTTTGCCAGATTTAGTCCATAGAAGCAAAAAAAATCTTATCGGAACGATTTGGTCTGCGAATTCAATCGGCCCAATAGGATTTTTTCCCATTGCGCCGATTGGTCAGTAAACAGTCGACGCAGCAGGAAACCCAAAAAAAATAGTACACAAAATTACATATAATTATTTAAAACATACAAAAATAACATCTAAAAAGTAAATTACTGATCAGAACGTTGGTAGCCGCAACGTGTAACGCCATCTCGTGGGGAATAGCGGATACTATTGCTTTCTGTTAGTGCATTTCAAGAAAAAATATTATTGGTTACTTCCTTCTTTTAAATACATGATGTCGTCTAAACTTTGTAATAAAAATTAAAAAGGAAACTAATATAATTCTGCGAGCATGTATAACAATTGATGAATTATATAAATTAAATAATCATAAAATAAAATACCATACCATTTCTGGACATAACTCTACAAACAACATTATAGATAAGAATCTCGGCAAGTCGCATAAATTCCGGAGGTATCAAAATTTGTTTTGAGAATTAATTATTAGTTACTTTTACTTAGCGTCGGTAACTTTTGGCAACTTTCACCACTCTCTCCGTTTGCCATACTTTGTTTCTTTGAATGTTGGAATATTTATTACAAATTAAATCTTACAACTGTGGGAATATTATTATAATAAAATAATATGATTACTGTCTATATTTTAAACCGTACTTAATTGTACCCGTGCACAAAAAAATACATAAAAAAATGGATATGACATTTTTCAGGATTCGACAATGTAAGAAAATATAGCTTAACTAGCTCTAGCCCGCTACTCCGTCCACGCGAAATTAAAAATACTTAATCGTAGCCTATGTGTTCTTGCCAACTGCTTCTCGAGATACCTTCTTAAAAATGTCCATCCTTCAAAACATTAGCTTTTATAAAAATATGTAGTAAGAAAGAATTTAAGATACTTATACCTATAATAAAGCCTAATTACATGTAGTACATTTATTTTTATTAATAAAAAATCTTAATTTGATATGTTTAATTTCGACATATCCATAGGTACATTTTCCATAAACGTTCCATTTTACCCGCTCGTCCTCTACACGATTTAAATAGTACAAAAGCGTCTACATCCAAAGTTGTAACAGTCGATGAGTTATGAGAACGAACTTTACCTCAACAAACATCAGATGGTCGAGTGGTTGCGGGGGAAGGGAAGATGTCTGATAACAGCGCCAACTGAAAGTGCCCAGCCAACAATTTTACCTAATTTAATATCATGATTGCCTTTTACTTTGTTAGCCTTCTTGAAGTTATAATTAAATAAAACATTTATATGGTTCTTTGGGGATTAATTACAATGTGAAAATTGTATTCGATACTTTCTTTCTGGAGACGTTCTGAAGATACCTTCTAATAAACATTCATCCAGCTAAACTTTCGCATTTATAATATTAGTAAGAAATAAGACGTCGTTTGTCTTATTCTAAAAATGAGAGAAAAATAAGTTTTAATACTATTAAAATAAAACTGAACTTTCATTGCAATTCTTAAAATCCAATAATCTTTACACTTTTCACAGGTGAAGAAACACTAGAAGGTCTAGAAGGTCTTCACTCCGATGAGACGGGTTCCGGTGATAATTCTAACGCGGGGTCGAGCGGCGCTGATGATGACGCAGCTCGTCTCCGGCTAAAGCGCAAGCTGCAGCGCAACCGCACCAGCTTCACTAACGAACAGATAGATAGCTTGGAGCGAGGTAAGCTACACAGCTTTGTTTGCACACGCATATACGCTTTGTTCTACGCTTTTCTTTGTATTATATCATGGTATAAACATGAACATGAACGAGAAACTACAATCAAATGCAATCGAACACTTTACTCGTCAAAATCGGTTTAGCCGTTAAGGCTAAAGTCACCATGGCATAGAAATACATCACAAGTAACTTCCATAGCCACGTCAGTGCTGTGATTCATAAAAAAATTATATTCATACTTTTATTTCGCAGAATTCGAGCGAACACATTATCCAGACGTGTTCGCCAGAGAGCGGCTGGCCGCTAAGATTGGATTGCCTGAGGCGAGGATACAGGTGAGCTGACACAGATTATTATCATTCCAAAAAATTCTGCTTAATTTTAGTACGAACTGAGACTATTTTTACAGTACACTAATGTTATTTTTTTTTTAAATTAAGCTCTATATTTATTAAGATATTTTAGTAAAAGATCTTAGACTAGTGATGATTTTAATTTTTTTTTAATTTCAATAAAATAATAGAATACAGAATTAGAACTCATTGATAAATAGAATTCATTGAATATTATATTAATACTTTATTAAAATAACAAATAAATTATTGATGCAAACGTAAAAAACAATACATAAATAGCAATCAATTAGCGCGTAAAAACCGCGCGTCTTGTTAACCTTCGCCGACCTTAAGGTGTGGTTCTCGAATCGACGCGCGAAGTGGCGGCGGGAGGAGAAGATTCGGTCGCAGCGCCGCAGCCCGGAGTGCGCGTTCGCCGCACAGACGCACGCGCCCACGCATGCCGCGCATCCCACGCACCCCGCGCATCCCACGCATCCGGCGCATCCCACGCATCCCGCGCATCCCACGCAGCCGCCGCATCCCACTTACCAGCCGCCGCTCAACGTTGATACATACAGGTAAAATATAATTAAGAGTAAATTAAGCATCTTATTTTTCTCAAGACTTTTCCAAATTACTGAGTATATTTAAAAAAGACTCATATATTTAGTGGAAAAGTGTTTAAAACATTCTTCTTTACAGTCCCCTGACTCCAATGGGCTACGGCAGCGGTCTCTCCGAGGGTCCGCTATGCGAGGGCGGAGAGACAGACCTGTGTAAGGGAGGGTTTGGGTACCCGCGCTATGAGCTCGGCTACCGTGCGCCGCACGCCTACGTCAACCATAACTACCAACATGAAGCTGCATCGCCCACACCAGGTAATTTATGGATACAAGTTAATTTCAATTCAAGTTCATGTACCATCCACCCAGTAATCTTAAAGTTTCGAAGAATGTACTTTCAAAATTAATAAATTAACTATCGATACTGTTTCCAGAATTAGGTGGTCTCCTGGGTGCCGGTGTGTCTGTTCCTCTGGCAGTACCAGGCCACGACGCGCAATACTGGTCTCGCCTACAGTGACCTTGGTGGCACTAGCTTCTACGCACTTGCTTACCGCACGCACACAAGACATCAGTCAAGTTATACAAACTATAAGTTGTCGATATCCTTCAATATTTATAATTAAAAAAAAACAATATTTAAGTTGACTTTTAATTTAGGGTCCAGAAATAAATGTAAAAGAAAAATTATGTTAAAACGCAGAATATTATCCTCGTTTATTTTTATTAATTGCTCTATTGTAACAAATTGTTAAATATACTTGTGCAAAGCAATTGTAAAGGCATATATCAATATTAAGCACAAATATAATGTAACGTCGCCAGACATTTTGTATTTAACGCGCAAAAAAACTTCGTACATGAAGTTAGTTACGAAATGCGAAATAAAAGAAACAGATATCCCATAAAATAATAGGAAGGAAAGAGATAGATGGTGTACCTCTTTTGCGTCAATTTTAGAACAATCTGCGCGTTGCTAACTTCAGGTACATGGCTTAAGTGTGTAATGTTATTCCTATTATATTATTATTTGAAGCTTTATTACACCGCGTAGTATTAAGAAATAACATAAGCACACAAAGATGCAACAGAGCACAAAAGAAAGGCTCAAATTTTATTTAATGTGAATCAAATTATTTCATTCAACGCACTTTATCAGAAATAATAATTTGCACGGCATGTTTCATTTATAACATTTAAAAGTGAATTTGAATGAAACATTTTGATATACAACATTTTTATTATTTATTTAGAATAAAATTAAATATAATAGCGCTTAGACATAGTTTAGTGAATTTAAAATAAATAATTCTGTGTACATGTTATTAATGTAAATAAAATAAGATTTAATTGTAACTTAAGGTCTAAATTACACAAAGTACTGGTATTTTTTTCAATTAAATCACCAATAATTATGCTGAACAAATAAGGAGAAAATACACAGTAATCTAAATCCAATTTTGTATACTTTATCATTTTAAAAAATGTCACTTTTTAAATATAAAATAAAAAATTAAGACCTAACCAGGTTTGTGCTACGAAGTATTATGGGCAACCGAAATGAAATAGGCTAACTCCAGTATCGGGAGGACCATGTCTTTGTAAAGTTATACCAACTATGGTTTCTTATTCTAGTTATATAAACAATATTACGCATGTCACAATAATAATTTTATTGTTTAGAACACCTTTGGTTGTATATGTTTGTATTTAAATGTAATTATTTAAATTTATGCACAGTAATATTAGTGTACTTATTGTGAAAATAACCACCGTCAAATGTTTCAATTATATAGGATATTAATTTCGAATTTATTAATATTAGATGTAAAATGTATAGGTAGATACGTAAAACATTAAAAAAATATGTGAATAATTGTGTGATGTCAAAAAAAAAAGGTTTTAATAAATTGCATTATATTACATAATAACACATTTTTGGATCAAAACGTTGTACGCGTTTGATTTTTCACTGCAGAACCTTTGAAATAAAGTTTATATCCCTCAATCCCCACTAAATGCTTCGTGATAGTAATGTGCCAGAAAAGAACTGTGGGCTGCAATTCGTAAACAGCTTCCGCTGCTTCAAAAAGAAGGAAGTTATCTAGTTGTCTGTATTTTTATTATTACTTAGATAGTATTTGGTGCGTAGGTAATACAGCATTGCTCTGAATAAGAAGGCTTATTATTAGATCAACCAGAAACACTTTGATCATTACAATTTAATTATATTATTCAATATTTTTAATATTAAATTATAATTATTTTTAAATTAAATAATATTAATTGATAAATGAAAATCTAGTTTAGATTCCTGTTTTCCTTTTTGGTAAATCTGGGTAAAATTCCCTAAACACAGATAAGTAAATGTATTATTTAATCTGTGGAAAACCATAGCCAACATATTATTGGGAGAGTTTGCCGATGAAATGAAATGAAAGTCCGCCTTCCGCCACATGTCCGCCATATCTACTACATTTTCTTTCTAAAAGTGACGTCCATATTATTTTTTATTATATAGAACAGTTGTATAGACATTTGTTGTTAATTTAATTATTCTTGAGTTTATTCATAAGACGGTGAGTAAAAAGTGTTGTGAGAAAACTTTGTATTTTTAGATTTATTCGGTAATTTTGACGCCGCTCCGTGGTTGTCATATTGTCAATTTGAAATATTAACTTTCATGGCGTTGAAAATATTTTGGTGAATTATTGGTGTTATTTTGGTATTGGTGTAGTGGATCAATATATTAACGTGCATATAGTGCCAACAGTTAAAAGAAATACTCGCACAATGCGCTTTTTTTCTCAGGCCCTGGACGGCTGATTACACCATGGAGTCTCCTAGAAAATTTAACGATTGTTACTTTTACTACTACTCCACATGCATTAAGGTACGTTCATATCTTTAATTTATTTCATTAACTAACTTATAAAATATTTAATTTATTTTTGTCATTGGGCGTCCTTGCAAGATTCTTCGCAGTTTTATTAAAATTACAAAATAATGTCTATTTTCTTACTAAACACTACGAAAAAAATCTAGGAAGAGATAAATTTAAGTGGCGAGGTTTATTGACATTTTAAAACCACGAATTAAATCTTTGTTTTTTAAATTTTAGGGTGATAATTGCGTATTCCGCCATGAGCCATCTGCTCTTGGCTGTGAGACAATGTGCACCGCATGGCAGCAGGGCAAATGCCTCGATAAGCGTTGTAAACTGCGCCATATGGAACTGAGGGTAAGTTTGAGGAAATTTACTATATTTGTTATCACCACTCTGATTAATTTGTTAAGTGGGATTCCCTATTTGTAAGTACTAAAATTATAATTTAACAACCATTTTGCATAGCTTTAATTGAAGTGACTCTGAATTAAATAATATTTGACCACTTCATTTGAGTTAGAATGTCAAAATTATGTAAAAAAAATTGTTGACACTATTATCTCATTGGTGAAGGTCAATATTATGAAACTATTTGGGAGTAGTCATAGTAAGTGTGGGTACTTCCAAATTTATTGCCCAGATGTTTTTAAGAAGTTCACTTTATATTACAGTTAAATAACACAACAATGTTTTTAGCATAATGATATTGCAAATTCAGATGTTTGCTTTCTTGTCAGCTTATCAAAATTGCCAGTCCACAGTCAGCGGATAAAACGTGTTTTGTCTCAACTTGGACTATGTTCACAAGGAAAAAAAACTTAATTAGGTGCCTATGTGTTCTTTCAGGCTATGTTCTACATCTATGCCAAATTTCAGCAAGATCCATGCAGCCGTTCTGGAGATACCTTCAAACAAACATCCATCCATTCAAACATTTGCATTTATATTATTAGTAAGATGTAGACTATGTTTATCAGCCATGTGAAAAACTACATTTATAATAATTAAATGAAATAAAATCTATCAGGAAACCATAACTTTTTAATATTGTTCATATTTAAATTGTAAATACAGTATATATTAATCTAATATCAAGGTCAATTCAAAAATTATGAATAAAATTAAGTTCATCTAATCAATTTATTATCTGGCCTTGATAAATTTGATAAGGTGTTATCTAATACATGATTATTTATGACATTCCTATCGTTTTTCAGAAAAATCGTAAGCAGATTCCGTGCTACTGGGAGAACCAGCCGGGCGGTTGCCGTAAGAAACATTGCCCTTTCATGCACAAGAACCCAGATGCACGCACGGATGGCATCGCTCCTAGTCAGCCTGCGCCTATGGTTGTGGTAAGTACAGAAGAAAATGCTTAATATAATTGATGGTCAGTAAAATGTTGATCCCGTCTGAATGGTATATAGTCAGAAATCAAAACAGTGGTGGAACACCAGTAACTACATCTGTTGCATGCTTGTCCGGGTTGGAGCTGTGAAATACCACATCTACATATGACACATTTCAAGTAGATGCAACTCCGTGTTTCATCTGATGAGTGCCAGTGCTGGATTCCTTATTTTAGTCCTTTTCCCCATTGCACCTTATTCTTATATGGAATAGATTTGAAGGGGATTATATTATTATTATATATAGTTGCACACTGGCAGCTGGTCAGCTGATATGTGTGATAAATAATTTGGAGATATTCAGCTTGTCGATGTTGTTTTTAAAAGCGTTAATTGATGGAGCCATTGCAATGCTCTCTGGGAGTTTGTTCCATGCTGCAACAACCCTGTTCGATAAGAAATATTTCATAGTATTTTTCTTAGCTGAGTTTTCCCAAAGCTTCAGGGGATGCCCACGTAGATGTTCATTGTCATTCAGTGTATACATATCTTGGAGGCCTGGTACATCATAATAATGAGTAAGAATTTTGTATGTTTCAATTAACATGCCCCTACTGTTTCAGCATAAAAAATATATTGTCCAAAGCATGTTGTAAGTTGAGGGTCTTTATAACAAAAATGATTATATAAAAAAATTCTGTAATTCAGATGTTGCAGAACAAAGAAGTATTACCACTTTATTACTTTTAGTATAGATGCAACATTTTTATTTGCAGGCGACCCCCGCAGTGCCCGAGGTGTCTGTGGAGCCGTCCCCAATGAACGCCGGTGTTCCCGCGCCAATACCTCAGCCCGCTCCCATGCCCCTGCTGTGGCAGCAACAAAGACAAGGTATCTACAGATAGACATTTAATATCCACTCCTAGATGACAGAAGGAAAGGAACAAGAAAGGCCGTGTAGAATAACCATTTGTAAATGAATGTGATATGATGATGATGTCTCCGGAACGGCTTAATGGATATTGATGAAATTTGGCACACATGTAGAACATAGTCTATAAGAGCAGATAGAACTTACGAAGTTTTTTTTTTTAATTTCACGTGGATAGAGTCGCAGGCGACAGCTGTTATATTATTATGTATAAGACTGTGTATCGAAGATTCCGGAATTGAGATTTGCGCGTTTTTATTGATTTTCTAGTTTTATACTTGTATGAATTACACAATGTTTGCGTTAAGTAGGTACTGAAAATACTGAATAGATTTGAGAAATTATTTCACTATTCGGATACTACACTATCCCCGATGACTTAATTATTATTTATTACCAGTATTTTTTTAAATATCTCGCGTACGAAGTCACGTGCAATTACTATTAGAAGGTATTATTGGCAGTTACTTTAACAATTTTCTATCAACAGTGGTTCTAGACTCTGCAATCCTGGGCGTGCTGCCCTCTAGCGACCTGCTGGGCGCGCGCCGTGTGCTGCCGCCGCACGCGCACGCGCACGCCCACGCACATCCTCATGCGCACGCGCACGACGCGCCCGGACCGTACGCGCCGCTGCCGGTCGACCCTCTTGTTGTTAACTTCGAGGAAGGTATGCGTCTCTACTGAAATTATATGTACTAAACACCTGTTATAACAGTTTGGGAACTTCGCTTTTAATATTGTGAGCTTGAATTGATAGTCCATCGATATTTCAATGTTGTGTTGAAAATCTGTTGATGATTTTTTTTTTAATTTTAAACAATCTACGATTTTTAAGTTTACTCCGTTATAAATGTAAGTGTAATTTACATTATAATGAATTTAAAACTGTTTGTTTTTACTGTTTTTTTTTATTTTATTTTAGAAGTACAAAGTTATTCAATCAAGAACTGTCTGTCTGATTGAACTTTATCTGTGAATTAACAAATTTAATAAGTTGACTA